TCTGGAAGGACTCTTTTATCATTCCACTTCACAAAAAGGGTGCGAAGGCGGATGCCCAGAATTACAGAGGTATTTCTAAATTGTCGGCAATTCCTAAAGCATTTGAACGTATTATTACTTCTCATTTGCAACATTTATGTTCCTCGCTAATATCACCGTGTCAGCATGGTTTTGTTAAGCGAAGATCGACCACCACCAACCTTCTGGAATTGTCATCTATTGTAATAAATGGATTTAAGAATAAAATGCAGACTGACGTTATATACACAGATTTTAGTAAGGCCTTTGACTCTGTCAACCACTCTCTTCTCTTATTCAAATTAAATCAGCTTGGGTTTCCATGTAATCTATTAACTTGGATTTCAAGTTATTTGAATGGTAGGACTCAGAGGGTTGTATTCAAGAACGCTGCCTCAAAACTGATCTATGTGACATCTGGAGTGCCTCAGGGTAAGTCATTTGGGCCCTTTGCTGTTTACTTTGTTTATTAACGATCTTCCCTCTATCATAACACACTCTCGTGTACTAATGTATGCTGATGATGTTAAGCTTTGTTTATCACATAATGATATAGCGTCGGGATTCAACTTACAGTCAGATATTGATTGTTTTCAGGGATGGTGTGAGTATAACCTTTTAAATTTGAACTGCCTTAAGTGCAACGTTATGACTTTTCATAGGGGTACTCCTACTTTTGTTAGTTACTCTCTTCAAAATACGCCACTCGATCGTATATATTCAGTTAATGACTTAGGCGTTCTTCTGGACCCTAAACTTAAATTTGACTGCCACATAATGTCCACTGTCAGCAAGGCCATGAGTGTTCTTGGGTTTATAAAGCGTTGGTCAAAAGAATTTGATGACCCTTATACAACCAAATTATTATTTACCTCCCTTGTCCGTCCTATTTTGGAATATTGTTCTTCGGTTTGGAGTCCACAATATCAAGTGCATATTGACCGTATTGAGTCGGTACAAAAAAAATTTCTTCTTTTTGCCCTTCGTAGTTTGAACTGGGATCAAAACATAAGGCTACCTTCCTATCAGAGTAGATTACTATTGCTTAATTTACCTACCCTTGCAAATCGTAGAACAATGCTTGGTACTATTTTTATGCAAAATCTTATAAGAGGTGATATTGATTCTGTAGAACTTGTAAACCGCCTAACTTTCAATGTTCCTGTTAGACTAACACGAAATTATTATCCCCTAAATTTGCCACGATGTACATCTAATTTTTGTCTGCACGAGCCCTTTCGCGTTCTATGTAATAATTATAACAACCTTTATCATTTAATTTGCACTTCAACTTCTATCCCGGTACTAAAAACTAATATTTTAACTCATTTGCTTCATTCTTAGATGCTTCTTTTATTTTCATTTGTGTCCCGTCTCTATTTGTTTTTTGTATCTTCCTCGCGAACTCGTATTTTTTGCCCAAATTGATAAAAGGGCCCCGCGCGTAACAAGCACATGCTTGGTGTCGTTGGGCCACTTGTTTGTACTGCTCGTAGTGCATCAACGTCCATCATATAAATGTATTGGTGTCGTCAATACCTATCGATTGATCCAAAAATAAATTTGCCACGCCCACTCTAACGCCCATAACGCTTAAATCTGTCTACCGCCGGTAGGTGGCGCATTTTAATTTCGCTTTGCTGCTTGCATATCTCCATTTCCCTTTAAGTAACGGGTATCTGATAGTCGAGGTACTCGACTATAGCGTTCTTCCTTCTTCTTCTACTACGAGTAACGGGTATAACTATTTGAAATGCAAAGTTATGACTTCCTATAGGGGTACCCCAATTTCATGAATTATTCTCTTCAGAACATTTTTTTTTTTTTTGTTTTAGGTTGAATACAGTTTTATTTACATCTGCCCAGGGGGCAACCAATTAAATGTTGTGATACTTTGAGTGTGAAATTACAAATTAAGTTTCTTGGTAATTAGTATTTTGTGTGTACAAATGGGTGGGGTTGGTTAATGTGTGACAGTGTGGTTTGTGAGAGTTCCGTCAATTATGATTGTTCTGGCTGGAAAGCATTGTCATCATTAGGTTTTTGAGATGGTCGAACATGGTGTTAATCATGTCTTCCATACGTCGGATCATCCTCTGCTCCAAATCTTCAAGAGGTGACTGGCCATTGAGTAGACTGTTATCGGAGTTCCTATTTAGATTCTGCAACCCCGAAAGGAGGCGGTGTGTTCCTCTCCGCAGTTACCGCACATGGGTGGGATTTCCGTTGTCTTTTGGCAAACAAGAGAGTCGTGTAGTAGACCACATTTAACACAAACATGTTGGAGCTTGCAGTATCTTTTCGTGTGCCCGAAAGCTTGGCAGCGGAAACATTGTACCACTGCATCGAATTTTTTTGGCTCCTCAATGGTGACAACGGCGTGACACAGTTGTTGTTGGTGGGAGCTGGTGCAAGGTTAATAAAAAACATTGACAATGGCATTTTGGTTGCCCTTGATATTGCATTTTTAGCGTCTCGCATCTTATGGCCGAGTTTCTCATAGGCCTCCTTAACCTCCTCTAGAGGTGTTGTGTGATGTAGACCTTTAACCACGATGCGAAATGCTCTCTCTTCCTTAAGTTGGAAGGTTTGGAAAGGTTTATGGTTTTTATTTATAAAACAAGGAAGAACTCTATAGTCGAGTACCTCGACTATCAGATACCCGTTACTCAGCTAAATAGAGATATGCAAGCAGCAAAGCGAAATTAAAATGCGCCACCTACCGGCGGTATACAGATTTAAGCGTTATGGGCGTTAGAGTGGGCGTGGAAATTTTTTTTTGGATCAATCGATAGGTATTGACGAGACCAATACATTTCAGTTAAAATTTTTTATCTAGCATGAAAATTGTGGGCGTCACAGGTTTTCGCGGCTTGTGGGCGGGAAAGTGGGCGTGGCAAACTTTTTTTAGGTCAACCGATAGGTATTGATGAGAACAATACATTTCAGTTAAAATTTTTATTCTAGCATCAAAACTGAAAACAAGAACAATTCTTGTGAGGCGTGTTAATAAAGTATGTGCCTACTTAGGCTTACGAGTATATCAAAAACGACGTTTTGAGTGTACAACATCTGCAAGATTCGAGAACTGGTGCGGCGCTCTCCGTATTCCACGGCAATTATTTCGTGGCTAACCTGCGGTCTCACAGCCAAGTGCAAAGAAATGGGCAACCGGTCGGGGATCCTGGCAGCTGCAGATGGCTTCAAGTGTGAGTCGACCTGGAGCTTCGAGGAGGAGGCGCAGCCCCAAGTGCAATCTACAAATTAACGAATTTAGCCATCATATTTATCGGCTATTGTCATATATAACTTCAATCAAAGCTTAAAAACCATTCAAACAAGACAATTTGAAGCCAAAGGATAGTATAATGAATTATTTATTATTGAATGCTATATTTTGTATGCTGTTTAAGCTTTTTCATCAAATATCCCCGCTTGTCGGAGCATCCAGACATCTTAAAGGGAGACTGCTAGACTGCACCCAAAAACTAACTTCATTGTTATCGATTCTTTTGGTTTCGGGAGAATCTCGATTTCTTTGTGGATCAATCGATGTATCGTCACCGTTCTCTATAGCTTATCCGACTATTCTACGGCATTGTTCGGCTCATTCATCAGAGGCTTAGAAAGGGACAGGTATGTATGACAATTACTGGGATTAGTTTGGATAAGAAGGCATGGTCACTTAAGCATTTGAACGTTAGCTTTAAACTTTATAACTCAAATAACTTTAACCTTCTGATTGTACTGCTTGAAGCTTTTAAAACTGACTTAGGTAGGTATAAAACTGCCAGCAATTAATAATGTATGCTTGCCGTGAAATCACACACTTTTAAAACGACTTGAAAATATTTTTTGGTGCTAAAGAAAGCTTGTAAATGTTTTTATTTTATCATCTCCGGCAAGAATTTTTTCAAATAGCCTTTGAGCTTTATTTCTGAATGCTAATATATGGTTTTGGGTTTACCTCTAAGAAGCAGCGTCATTTTTGGCTCGCAACGGACTTAGAAAGACGATAACATATTACTTTTGTTGATTTTGCAAGGAGCTAAAACAAATAAGGAAAAAGCATAAAATTAGTTTTTATACTCGTTCCCATTTTTACTCCAGCTCTAGTGAATGAGCATACAAAAGTGCAAAAAAAAACACGAAGCGTTTGTCGCGCTCTTCCCGGCTAATTGTGGACTTGTGCGGGTCGTTTCATTGATTTATGGCTGCTAATTTTAACGCATTTAACGCTTTCAAAGTATTAAATAATAAACTCTATCCCGCCAAGAGCCTCTCGATCCCGCTGTTTTCCCAGTGCCCCGCCATAACTCCGCCACCAAAATCATCCTCATCAGGACACCCTGCTGAGCTGCAATGTCGGACGAGTTGAGGCGCCATGGAATACGAGACTGTATGGTAAAAGAGGGAGGGGGTTTCCCTTTTGGCCGCCTGGCAGACTTTACAAGTGTTTCGCTCGATTTTATGGGCCAGCTCAGAACGGGGCGGGACTTCCCCTTTCCCACGGGTTGTGTAATGAAATTAAAGGCGTAATGCAATACAGCTGGCAAAGTTTTTGCAGCGGTTATTTCCATGAGGCTCTCGTTACTCTTCGCTCTTTTGCCCGCCAGTAGCCGTCGTCGCTTCTCTAGACGGGCATTAAATTTAATATTTAATATCTTCCGTTTTTTAACAGACTGCAGTCTTCAAAAATATGATACCATTTTCTTTTGATTCTTTTGGCCTTCAATGCTTAAAGATATTCTTATAAGCTCTCAACAATTACAAGATAATTGTTAAGTATCAAAATATATAAAAATATTATATATTATATTGATTTTGGTATTTTTGGTATTTTAGATTAAAAAAAGTACTTCCGATATTTTCCCATAAAATAGTTTTCTAGTTGGCCATGCTTTTAAATTCATAATCACTTTTGACGTGACAATCAAAAAAGAAAAAGGATAAGCTCGAACTAGCAAATTTATTAATTTATTGAAAACGACTCACAATGAATTCAAAAGATATATATTCTCTTGGTAAGCCAGCCGAAATGGAAAAAACTCGCAGGTATTCATCAAACCCCGAGGATGCCTCCTCCATATCGACTGAACAACCGGCGACCCTTCGTCGGGTATCCGTAGAGTCAGATTTACGCAATTCTTCGTTAGTAGGTCGAATACCCGAGACTTGGGGACATATTAAGGGCCGTAAAACAATTCGTGCTCCCGATACCCCTGAGAGGGCTCCTCGAACCCGGAATATATCAAGCAGTCCAAAAACCCCACGCACTTCCAAGCAACCGAAGACACCGCGGAGCGCAAAAAGGGTGGCAGGTTTGGTCAAACAAAAATATGCGCATATCAAGGGCCGTAAGCAGATTCAAGCTCCTAGTTCCCCAACAACGGAGCCTCAGTCTTCATTAAAGACACCGACAACACCGAAGGGTTCCCCAAAAACTACTACCCCTAAAAAACATCCTGAGTCTTCACCAAAGACACCGAAGATGTCGCCTCATACATACATAGAGATTAACTGCTGGGTTCCGAGTCGTTGGAAGACTCCTTGGTCCTGCACCAACAACAATTTTCTCATACGGCGCCAAAGCAAAAAAATTCCGAAACGCCAAGTACAAAAATCACCTAAGCTCGTAAAAAATACTGAATAAAAACTAACTATTGAATCGTTTTGCGTATGCGGTCCAATTTTCCGTTGATGCGAGTTGAAGCGTGCACGTGGAATGGATGAAGCGGATTTTGGTCGCTGTAGCGTGAACTCCTCTGTGTAAATAGTTTGAGCCTATTTTGTTGACAATTCACGAACGCTTGTTCATAAAATGTACCCGAAATTTTGGCAGAGGCGGACGGTCTAGCAGCTGGACCACCGAACGAACTTTTCGAGTATCGACAACCTGTTTGTTTTCATGAATGGTGTTCATAATCTTAGAACGGTGTTATAATATGACCCCATACCGTTCAAAGCTAAGCATTTTTCCGTGACTCGTTTATAATTTTACATAAATGTTCTTTATTTGACACCGCAGTGTTCTCTTTTATGAACACAAAATAGCGAACGGATCGTTCTCAAATCGTGAAAAATGTTCTTGATTTTGTTCGTTCTTTTTTTTTGTTTGTTCCGTTTTGGTCTCTTTTCGGCCTTCCTTTTCGGAAGGAACTTCTGTGTCTTCCTTTTGAGCTACCACTTCCTTGCTTTTAGCTACCATTTTATTCTTCTGATCGGCTACCTCCTGGCCTTTCTTTTCAGGAGCTATCGTTTTGAGACTTTTCCTTGCCATTGGAGGACTTGCTGACACCATTCTGGGTAGATTCGCTTGACTAGGAAGAGTTGGTGGACGAGGTAAGCAGTTGGGTGGTCTTCTTCACAGGTGCAAAGGCCTCTACGATCTTTTCATTGCTAATGCCGCCGCTCATCTAGTGCCTCTACAACTCAGCACCTCAATTACGGATGGAAAATCTCTTCGCATGTCGGGCACTCCATTAAAGTTACCAATGAACATCTTACATCAATCAAATCAATTTGGTGTTGATTGCGGAATTTCCATTTTTTACTCACACTCAATATGTTGTCATGTCTTATCTTAAATTTGACAATATATAGGAGTGGATAATAAAATGATAAAAACGGGTGTATTGGTATACAAAATTCAACATAATGTCCTCATGAAATCGATTTAAACCGAAATTAAAGCATACAGTGGCCAATAGATTCCAAGAAAAATAAAAATGACTTTCATTGAGAATTTATTTTTTAAGAAGAAATTGTGAATATTTTGGGAGTTTTAGTTTTGGCGTCAAGTTCCAAAGACTTGGACAATGCACTACAGGCTGGCTGACCACATTTTTGGGCCACAAATCCATTTTTCGAAAGTCGTTGTCGGGAAAACATCAAACTTCAATGTTACGTAACAAAAACGGCACCAAACTAAGTTTTTATCAAACAAGTTGTAATGGCATCGAAAGAGAGCGGTTTGTACTATATGTTTGAGTTTCATCTTAATATTTACACTGTGTTGTCGGTAGTTTATTTCTTGTTCATATGAATGCAATCCTAAAGTGTGCAAACACTTTCGTCGCAATTTACCCTTTTAGGTCACAACCTCAGGTTTGAAAATACATAATTGTTTGCGATTTGGAGTTCTGGAGAGAAAAAGTATGACAAAGATCTGCCAATACTTGGCACATTAAGAGCTGCGATAGCTGGTTCAGATGCTTATGAGGATGTTTTGAAAAAACAAAGCGAAGCTTTTTGTTATAGATTGTCCCGCAAAGGACATCTTGCAAAATAAATTTTAATCATTTTAAAAGAAAGTACTCAACTAGGTTTACATCCCACACTGAGGTTTGCATAAACAGGCGGAGATCGACAGGCAGGCCAAAATTGCCTTATTTGTTATCGGGAGCAAGGGCTTAGAGAAGAGTAGTTTCAACTTTAATCAAATCCACGGCTGGAAAATTAAATTAAATTATTAATAAATAAATTTAGCGAGTGCGGCTGCGCGTAAGGGCGGTAAATCAGATCTAGCATATATTTTAAAATTATTGGCTATCTACCCTGAAAAAGCAAAGAGCATGCGCACCTTAATAAGTCAGCCCGTCGCGAAATTGGAGAAAATACTAGTTAACGACGCACTAGCTGTTCTCTTAGATCAAAATTTAACCAAGCAACAATATATCTCAATTAGAGATCAAACAAAAAACAACCTTGTTTCGAAAATAATGAAAGATCAAGGGTCAAACTTTTTAATAGCCGAACTTCAATATAGTGATGGGTTCGATGGAAGCTGAGGTCATTCGAACTACAAACAGGGACTTGCAGGTCCACAGAAGTGTGATGTCGATGGCAGTATATTCGCCACAACAGTAACACCTTTATTAATGATTGATTCTAGCGGAAATATAAAACGCTATTTTACTGTCATGAAATCATTTATGTTGCTATAAACAGTTCCATATAGGAAACTAGAATTCTACGGCTTTTGGGAAATTAGATAAATTGTGTTTTCCCACTGGTGCTAGTTATATATATATGATGGACGTTGATGCACTACGAGCAGTACAAACAAGAGGCCCAACGACACCAAGCACGTGCTTGTTACGCGCGGGGCCCTTTTATCAATTTGGGCAAAAAATACGAGTTCGCGAGGAAGATACAAAAAACAAATAGAGACGGGACACAAATGAAAATAAAACAAGGAAGAACGCTATAGTCGAGTACCTCGACTATCAGATACCCGTTACTTAAAGGGAAATGGAGATATGCAAGCAGCAAAGCGAAATTAAAATGCGCCACCTACCGGCGGTAGACAGATTTAAGCGTTATGGGCGTTAGAGTGGGCGTGGCAAATTTATTTTTGGATCAATCGATAGGTATTGACGACACCAATACATTTATATGATGGACGTTGATGCACTACGAGCAGTACAAACAAGTGGCCCAACGACACCAAGCATGTGCTTGTTACGCGCGGGGCCCTTTTATCAATTTGGGCAAAAAATACGAGTTCGCGAGGAAGATACAAAAAACAAATAGAGACGGGACACAAATGAAAATAAAAGAAGCATCTAAGAATGAAGCAAATGAGTTAAAATATTAGTTTTTAGTACCGGGATAGAAGTTGAAGTGCAAATTAAATGATAAAGGTTGTTATAATTATTACATAGAACGCGAAAGGGCTCGTGCAGACAAAAATTAGATGTACATCGTGGCAAATTTAGGGGATAATAATTTCGTGTTAGTCTAACAGGAACATTGAAAGTTAGGCGGTTTACAAGTTCTACAGAATCAATATCACCTCTTATAAGATTTTGCATAAAAATAGTACCAAGCATTGTTCTACGATTTGCAAGGGTAGGTAAATTAAGCAATAGTAATCTACTCTGATAGGAAGGTAGCCTTATGTTTTGATCCCAGTTCAAACTACGAAGGGCAAAAAGAAGAAATTTTTTTTGTACCGACTCAATACGGTCAATATGCACTTGATATTGTGGACTCCAAACCGAAGAACAATATTCCAAAATAGGACGGACAAGGGAGGTAAATAATAATTTGGTTGTATAAGGGTCATCAAATTCTTTTGACCAACGCTTTATAAACCCAAGAACACTCATGGCCTTGCTGACAGTGGACATTATGTGGCAGTCAAATTTAAGTTTAGGGTCCAGAAGAACGCCTAAGTCATTAACTGAATATATACGATCGAGTGGCGTATTTTGAAGAGAGTAACTAACAAAAGTAGGAGTACCCCTATGAAAAGTCATAACGTTGCACTTAAGGCAGTTCAAATTTAAAAGGTTATACTCACACCATCCCTGAAAACAATCAATATCTGACTGTAAGTTGAATCCCGACGCTATATCATTATGTGATAAACAAAGCTTAACATCATCAGCATACATTAGTACACGAGAGTGTGTTATGATAGAGGGAAGATCGTTAATAAACAAAGTAAACAGCAAAGGGCCCAAATGACTTACCCTGAGGCACTCCAGATGTCACATAGATCAGTTTTGAGGCAGCGTTCTTGAATACAACCCTCTGAGTCCTACCATTCAAATAACTTGAAATCCAAGTTAATAGATTACATGGAAACCCAAGCTGATTTAATTTGAATAAGAGAAGAGAGTGGTTGACAGAGTCAAAGGCCTTACTAAAATCTGTGTATATAACGTCAGTCTGCATTTTATTCTTAAATCCATTTATTACAATAGATGACAATTCCAGAAGGTTGGTGGTGGTCGATCTTCGCTTAACAAAACCATGCTGACACGGTGATATTAGCGAGGAACATAAATGTTGCAAATGAGAAGTAATAATACGTTCAAATGCTTTAGGAATTGCCGACAATTTAGAAATACCTCTGTAATTCTGGGCATCCGCCTTCGCACCCTTTTTGTGAAGTGGAATGATAAAAGAGTCCTTCCAGATAGTAGGAAAAACTGACGATGAAATAGACAAATTAAAAAGTTTAAGAATCGGTTTACATATGGTTGACGCACAAAACTTAAGCACACACCCGGGGAGTCCATCAGGACCGGGAGAATAAGTTGGCGTTGCTTTTTCTAAGTCTTTTACGAGAGAAATTTCCGTAATTTCAGGGGTAAAGATACAATTTGCCTTATTTAAGGGATTAGGGTAGTTAGAATTTGACCAAGGAGCTGAACTATAAGTAGTTTGGAAAAACTCGGCAAATAAATCAGCAATTTCAGAATCCGTCGATGCCTCCATTGAGTTAAAACGTACCGATGAAGGCAATGCTGACGACTTACGCTTGGCATTGACAAAGTTGTAAAACTGCTTCGGATCATTTGAAAATTCAAATTTACATCGACTTAAATACATAGAATAGCAATGACTATTGAGAACATTAAAATCCGATCGAGCCACCACATATTTCGAAAAATCAGATGGCTTACCCGATTTCTTATACTTTTTATAAGTGTTTGTCTTAAGGTTTTTAAGTCTTTGAAGCGCATTGGTAAACCAAGGTGGCCTGTTTGTCTTTGAAGGAAACCTATCAGGAACGCATTCATTAAAAAAGGTATTTAACACTATATAGAAGTGTTCATTGGCACTTTCAATATCCATACAATTGTACAATTCTGTCCAATTATATTGAGAAATCATGTCGTTAAGTTTTTTATAGTTACGTTTTCGGAAACATCTCACTTTAGTTTGAGAAACTAAAGGAGAGAGGGTATCAACGCATGGGAGGCA